AGGGGAAGATTTCATGACTCTTGAATAGAAAGGATCACAGATTACATAAAATTTAAAACATTTTTGCACAAAAAAAACCAATGTTGTTAACTGGGAAAAATTTTTGCAGCAAGTTACTCTAATTTGGTCTCATTTCAATTTATAAAACATAAGAACTATTCTCCAATTAATAAATGGTCAATACCATTTAAGGAAAAACTAGCCTAACTTGCAAAGGGGGCAAAGATTAAGATATTGCTGCCACCACACTCACTAAAGGTATTTACTGATGTTACGGAAGACTTCTTGCAAACAGTCCAAATGAAAGAGGAATTTGTTTATGAAGGTGAGGCGTTCTCCAAATTCTCCTACGTTTAAATGATATTGTGTAGATGGCCTGAAGCCCCAGTAAATTCTAGGACACTCTCAATAAGATGATCTTAGCAATTCACAAAGATAAAGAATTCGTATTTCTCATACTATTTCAAAAAGGTAGCTTAATAGTTTACTGAGCTGTCCTTCAATACATATCTTAGAGTGGCAATGTAGATGGACAAGAAGCTAGGCCCTCAGCTGAATAAAACTTTTAGCTTTTTAAAATTTGACTGGAGGTCCATAAAGCAAGACCTAAAGAATCTGAGTATAAGATACTTGTTTTCATCTAATGTAATACTGGGAGAAGATCCAAAAAAAAAAAAAATCCCCCACAAAAACCCTAGCCTATCATAGTTGAGCCAAGTGAGAAATTGTACTCAGTAAGCCCTCAATAAATACTAGTTAACCCTCTAATTAAATGAATAAATCTAAGTGTTCCTCAATAATGTTTTTTAAAAGGAAAGTTGTTCTCTATGAACTATGACTATTACATATCTGGAAGGACTTGGATATACAGAGTCATTGTTATAAGAATAACAAATTTTGGTTACTTTATAAGCTAACCAGATGTTCCTGGGTTTCTTTATGGCATAGCCAGCTCCTTGTTCCTAAAGTTCTTTAGGTACAAGTGGGATAACAAATTTTCAGGGTTTATTAAATGGGATACATATTTTAGGATATAAAAACCCTGAATTTCAGACTTGGAAGGAACTTCCTAAGGCATATAATTTCACTCATTCCCATGTAACAATGCTCATTAAACATATGAAACAAGTTGTCATCCAGCCTTTACTTGAAGAGCTCCAATGAATAGGAACCCATCTCCCAAAGCAGCCCTTTCCACTTTTGGAGAGCTCTAATTGTTAGAGGTGACATCAAGCTTAAATTTTTATCTTTGCAAACTCCCCTAACCACTCTGTTCTTCATAGTTCTGCCCCAGTGGGCCAAAAATAAGTATAATCCCCCTTTCTTTCAAATACCTGAAAATGGTTGAGAAACTTGGATGATCAGGCAAAAAAAGTAAAGTACAACATATGAAGGACCCAAGTATCACAGTGGTATGCACAAAATATTTAATAAATGGACTGTGGGAGGTGTTCAGTGGTTAGGTTAGATCTCTAAGGGAGATTTACTGGACAAGACTAGAACAGGATGAGAAGCCATGAATGGTCTGTAGTTTATACTCATGCCACTGAAGTACCAAAGTATGTAATTAGGAACTAAAAGCACATTTACAGCAAATCATAGAAACTAAAGATTAGGAAGAATGTCAGAGGTCATCCAGTCCTACCTTCACATTTCCCAAAATAGAAAATGATGCCCAGAGTGGTTAAGTGGTATGTCCAACATTTATAGTTGCAGAACAAAACCCTAGAATTTGGGTCTCCTCTAACTCTTAGTCAAGTGTTCTTTCTCTCACACCACAGCTGTTTGTTTAAAGCCACATTTATCATAATAATCTCTATTATATTATAATCCTATGATTGACTGTAAGAATAGAGGGAATATTTTCTTAAAGCTTTTGTCTCATTTCTATGATTATTCTATATCCCATTTGCAGACACCCAAGTTTCCAGTTAGTGCAACCTGATAAAATATCGCCATCTGGTGGTGAACATAAATTGCAGGCCAACGTTCCCCCCCAAACTGTTAAGAACTTCAAATGAAATTATCACAGATATTTCATATTTAAAGGTAAATCTGGATCCCCATACCAAGGTTTTAGAATCAGACTCTCCCACAATTATATTTGTGATGCTTGCCTTGCTCCATAACGCAAGTCAAATACAGAGAATGAAAGATATCTGTAAAAATTTTATGTGGGTTGACGAAACAATTTAACACAACTAACTACACAGAAAAGATTTATGGTCATGACCAAGAGAAGGCTAAGGGATACAATATTAGTGGACAGATGGAAATGGATTATGTTGGATAATAAACATAAGACAATAACACAACACTTATACTTGGGCCACTTATTTGGCAGTCTCAAATATCCAGAACACAGCCAAGAACCTAGCAAAAAATTTTAAGAAAGTGACTGTGGCAAAGTCTATATAACAGATTTGTGTACTTTAATCAGAAGACAATTCCTCAGGCTCTGACTTACAACCTATTCATTCTTATTTAATTACTACTATAATTCAACTTGATTTCTAAGGTCCTAACCCACATATTAGAAGCAGCAAATGAATAGGAAGAACAGGGTCATAATGGGCTTCTAGTGGTAGAAGCAATAACAGCAAGAAAAAAAAAGTGATGAACAGCTTAAGAGTAAGGGAAAGGACAAAAAAAATCATAAAAAGTAGTGACAAGAACTCAAAAAGATTAGTAGTCTAAGCCAGTGAGTACAAGGAAAAATAGCAAAAACCCAGGAGGTTATCATTTTAATAATGGTATAATATAATAACTGAATGTTTGATGACCCTGAGTTAGCAAGAAAGTTTTAAAATGTTTTATATCATGTTTAAGAGTGCAATAGTCTTTAGAAAAATCTTTTCATAAAAGGTGAAATGTTACATACACACATACATGTACACATTTACATACATACATATATGTACACACAGATGGAACTTAAAGAGAAAACGTTCTAGTTATCAGGAAAATTCACTTATATGGAATACCTCTTTCCCCACTGATCCTGGACAGATGTGTATCTCTCTACATTAATTATGCTATTGTCGTTGTTGTTGTTTTCAGTGGTGTCCAACTTTTCTTGACCCCACTGGTCCATAGTGCACCAAGTCCTTCTAATATCCACTGCCTCTCAAAGTTTGTCCAAGTTCATATTCATTGTTTCCATGACATTATCCTATCCTGTCCTATGCCATCCCCTTTTCCTTTTGCCTTCAATCTTTTCTAACATCAAGGTCTTTTCCAATTCTTTCTCATTATATGGTCAAAGTATTTAAGCTTCAGCTTCAGTATCTGACCTTCCAGTGAATAGCCTGAATTAATTTCTTTAAGTACTGATTGATTTGACCTCCTTACTGTCTAAGGGACTTTCAAAAAGTCTTCTTCAGCACCACAATTTGAGAGTGTTAATCCTGCAATGCTCAACTTTCCTTGTAGTCCAACTCTTATAGCCATACATTGCTACTGGAAAAACCATAGCCTTGACTACATGAACTTTTGTTGGCAAGGTGACGACTCTATTTTTTAGTATGCTGCCCTATTTACCATAGCTTTCCTTCCAAGGAGCAAGCATCTTTCGATTTCATGGCTGCAGCCACTATCTGCAGTGATTTACTCAATCCAAGAACATAAAATCTGACACTGCTTCCATTTCTTCTCCCTCTATTTGCGAGGAAGTGATGGGAGCTGTTGTCAAGATCTTTATTTTTTCAAGCCAGCTTTGACACTCTCCTCTTTCACCCTCATCAAGAGGCCTCTTAATTCCTCTTCACTTTCTGCCACCAGAGTGATATTGTCTTACATCTGAGATTGTTGATATTTCTCCCAGCAACCTTAATTCCAGCTTTTGATTCATCCAGTCTGTCATTTCTCATGATGTTCTTTGCACGTAAGTTAAATAAATAAGTGTATTTTAAATAAATAAATAAGTGTATTTTAAGTTAGTTAAATAGTAAGTTAAATAAATAAGTGTATAAATAAGGCTGTGTATTATCACAGCCTTGTTGTACTCCTTTTCTGATCTTAAACCAATAAACTGTTCTATGTTTGGTTCTAATTGTTGCTTCTTGGCTCAAATACTGGCTCCTCAGGAAACAAGATGATCTGGTACTCTCATCTCTTTGAGAACTTGTCACATTTTGTTGTAATCCACACAGTCAAAGGCTTTAGGGTAGTCAATAAAGTTTGCTTTCTCCATAATCCAGCAAATGTTGGCAATTTGGTACCTAGTTCCTCTGCCTCTTTGAAAACTAGCTTGCTCTTCTAGAAATTCTCAGTTCACGCATTGCTGAAGCCTGGCTTGCGGAATGAAGCATAACCTTGTTGGCGTGTGAAACGAGTGCAATTATTCGGGAATTTGAACATTCCTTGACATTGCCCTTCTTTAGGGCAATCACTCTATTACATAGCATTTATTAAGTGCCTAATGTATGACAGGCTTTGTGCTAAGTGCCAGGGATATAAAGAAAGAACAAAACAGAGTCCCTGCCCTCAAGGAGCTCAGGTTCTAACAACAAAAAGATTATGGAAGCAACTATTATGTACATACAAGATATATAACATGTAAATGGAAAGTAATCTCGGAGAGAAGGCACAAGAATTAGAGGACAAGGAAAGGCTTCTTGCAGGAAATGGGATTTGAGCTGAATCTTGAAAGAAGCCAGGGAAGTAGAGGTGAGTAGAAAAGCATTCCAGGTATGGGGACAGTCAATGAAAATGAAAGGAATCAAGATATGGAATGTCATGTAGGATGAACAGCAAGAAGGCCAGTGTTTTAAAGAATAGAAGTGTAGGAAACAGGCAGGTTGTACCTGAGGAACAAAAACTGACTATAAATGATTTAATTTTTCCACAATAAACTCGCTGAATTATCTAAGCACAAGTACTTTGTAGTTGGATAAACAGTGAAGCAGAGCAGTTAAGTGAATGGTTATTAATAATTTTAGCAAGTCAGCATTGCTAAAGTTTTTTATTAATATAATAAGATTTATATTTTGAGAACTTACCGGCCAGCAGAAACCTGCTTAAGTGAACCAGCACTTTCAAACAGCTGTGCTTTAGCCGCCACTCTGAAAATGAAGCAAAAACACATGTTTTAAATTTGCTTTTCAAAGGACCCTTTTACTATCTGTCCAGGAAATCATTCAAGACCATCATAAGTTTCTGTTGCATCATTTAAAAAAATTGTTGTGAATAAAAAAATGTGAACAGAGTACCACGAACTTCAAGTGAAACAGTGCTAGAAAATGAGAAGCATATTGTCAACTAACTATAAATGACATTTTTAGCCCAATCTTTTAGTGTATGAGATGAACACTGGGTTGCTATAAACCACTTGCTTCTTTTTTTCAAAAAAGTTATTTTTAATTTATGGAATAAAACAAGCATTTCCGTAACACAGTACAATAAAAAAAGATGATTGCATGTGAAATTACAAATCTACTATGTACAACTTGCTATTCCTTTAAAATATACAACAAAATTAGCCTACAAATTTCTTTTTCCCCCTTTTTTCTTTCTTCCTCCCTGTCCTAGAGATGGCTACCATTAGACACAAATAGGTATATATATGTATATATATGTATATATACACATACACACACATATATGTGTCTGTGTGTATGTATGTATATGTGTATATGTATATATATGTATGTATGTACAGATATGTAAAACTATTCTATATGTACTTCTATTTATCAATTCTTTCTCTGGATGCAGATAGCATCTTTCTTCATATGTCCTTTGTATTTAATTTTAGTATTTCTAATAGTCAAAATAACTTACTTGCTCAAAGTCATTCATAAAACAATATTGCTGTTACCATATACAATGTTGTCTTGGTTCTGCTCATTTTGTTTTTCATTATTTCATGCAAGTCTTTCTATGTTTTTTTTCTTCTAAAATCACTGAGTTCATCATTTCTTATCACACAGTAATATTCCATCACACTCACATACCACAACCTGGTCAGCCATTCCTCATCTGATGGGCATCCCTGCAATTTCCAGTTCTTTACTACCACAAAGAGAGCTGCTATTTACATTTTAGAACATAAAGGTTCTCTTCCTTTTTCCCTAATCATCTTTGGAAATAGACCAAGTAGTGGTATTGCTGGGTATAGGTAGTTTAATAGTTCTTTGGGCACAATTCCAGATTGTTCTCCAAAATGGTTGGATCAGTTCACAATTCCACCAACAATGAATTAAAGTCCCAATTTTTCCACATCCCCTCCAACATCTGTCATTTTTCCCTACTGTCATTATAGTAAATATGGTAGTTGTAAAATGATTATCTCAAAGCCGTTTTAATTTGCATTTCTCCAATCAAAAATGACAGCATTTTTTCACATGACTATAAATTGTTTTGATTTCTTCGTTGGAAAACTTCCTTTTCATATCCTTTGGCCATTTATCAATTGGGGAATGATTCATATGCTTATAGATTTGACAAGTTCTTTATATATTTTAGATATGAGACCTCTATTTGATAAACTGTCCATAAAAATTTTCTCCAATTTTTTGTTTCCCTTCTGATCTTGACTATATTTGTTTTATCTGTACAAAATGTTTTAATTTAATGTAATTGAAATTATCCATTTTATACCTAACTTTGCTTTCTGTCTTTTGTTTATTCATAAATTGTTGCATATTCCTAAGTTTGATAAGTAATATGTCCCATGTTCTTCTAATTTTCTTGTAAAATCTCTCTTTAAATGTAGGTCATGTATCTATTTTGACCTTATCTTATGTGTAAATGGTGTAAGTATGGCCCAGTTTCTGCCATACTTCTTTCTAATTTTCCCAATAATTTTTACCAAATAATGAATTCTTATCCCAAAATCTTAAGTCTTTACACTTGTCAGATACAAGGTTATTATGTTTATTTACTGCTGTAAATTGTATGTCTGCTCTATTCCATTCATCTACTACCTTCCTATTTCTTAGCCGGTTTTGATAATTTTGATAATTGCTGTCTTATAATATAGTTTAAGATCTGGTACAGCTAAACCTTTTCTTTACATTTTTTTCATTATTTCTTTTGATATTCTTGACTTCTTGTTTTTCCAAATGAATTTTTTTATTATTTTTTTCTCACTTCTTGCACGGGTTCTTCTTTTAACTTCATTTTTCCTCTCTCCAATAACTATTAAGAATGGTGAAGATTTCCTTCTTAGAGCATGTTCTTTATTAATTAATTTATCTACTTTCCCCTTTAATAATTTCTTATGCTGGGATGGGGAAAGATAATAGAGATACCCAAATCAGCATCAGTGTTATCAACAAGCTTGGTGGGTCTAATATTTGTTGGACCTTATGGAGACAGAAGGTGAGAGGAAGTTCAAAGTGCAGGTACTACCTTTAACTCTATGTTTTAGCAGGAATTGTTCTTCAAATCATTTCTCATAATTTTTATGTCAGGTCCAGTTATTAGGATATAAATATATGTGTATATATGTGTGTGTATGTAGATAGATAGACAGACAGACATACAGATAGATAGATAATCTCAGGAAACATGGACTAGCAAATTCATGAAGTTCAACCAACAGCAGTTTTTAATTATGAAGGAAAATGACATAGATTCTAAATACACAAATAATGGTCTTCCTTGAAGTAAAGTGAAAAGAAATGCGAATAAGATCAAGGAATAGACAACTACAACAATTACCTGTTTTTACAAGGAGAAAGTTCTTGATAAAAGTCCTACTCCATCCCACCATGGAGGTGAGTTTAAATTCCTAAAGGATAAGATGATAGGTTCTACAAAGTTGAAGACTTTACATACAGGACCAGGGACTACATTAATTTAACTGTTGTCACCCTTAATATCATATCTCTGACTACTTAATAAGCAGTTACATGTGAGTCAGTTAGTCAATGAGCATTTATCAAGCACCTTCTCTATTCCAGGCATTGTGCTAAGTGCTGGGAACATAAAGAAAGGTAAAAGGCATTTCCTTATTTCAAGGAACTCAAATGAGACAGCTAGACAATGCAACAGATAGAAAGCAGGGCTTGGAGTCAGGAAGACCTACCTGAATTCAATCCAGCCTCCCATACTTACTTAGCTGTGTGACTCTGGGCAAGTCACTTAACCTGTCTGTATCAGTTTCCTCATCTGTAAAATGGGGGCGATAATAATAGCACCTACCTCCCAGGCTTGTTGTGAGCATAAAATAATATTTGTAAAACTTAGCAAACCTTAATGCACAATTTAAATGCTAGCAATGCTGATGCTGATAATGATAATGAAGTTGAAGAAGAAACCAAAATACATACAGAAGCTATACTTAAATGGAAGGATGGCTAGCATATTCTCCTCAGATGGAAGATGAGAGAGATGGGCAGGGCTGACTTCATAGTGACACTAAAAGCAACAAAGAGCTTCATTTCATAGGACATTTATAGATCTGACTTTAAAAAGAGAGTGCCATGAAGATGACTGTAGCCTATGGCCCAACAGAAATTGCAAAGGATGACATAGAGAAATTAACAAATTTTAGGTAGTATAATGAAAAACTGGAGAGTGTCAAGAGGAGGGCAACCAGGATGGTGAAGGGCCTCATGTTAATGCAAAGACTTAAGGAGCATGAGATAGCTGTCTTCAAGTTCTCCAAGGGCTGTCCTATGGAAAAAGGAATAGAATTGTCCTGCCTGTCCTCAACTGAAGTCGCAAAGAAATAAACTTGAAGCTTGATGTCAGAGTAAAGAAGGAAAAATGTTTTTTATTATTAGAACTACTCAAGAATGAAATGGGTTGCTTAAGGGAGTCTTTAAGCAAAGACTGGAACACCAATCATCATGAATGTTGTATAGAAGGGATTCTTTTTCCACAGTGAGTTAAACTACTTTGCCACTTTGCCACTGAGGTCCGTTCTTACTCTGAAATTTTGTGAATCTGGAATTATCTATGAAAACAGTTGCCATAATAAGACCAAAGGAGGTCCAGAAACCATTGAGACCAGCAGACTCTTGATTTTCATGCTGTTTATTAAAGAGATATGATAGCCAAGGGCAACACAAATTTAGAGTACAAACTCATTTTACAAAACACAGTGGAAAAGGAAAACAAAATTCGAACAGTAGCACTACCTCACAAAACAGAATAATGCATTTAAGAAAAGAAGCCTATAGAAAACTCTATGATATCCAACTAGATCAGCCTGATTGTCTCTGCAGATGAAACCAGAAGGAGGGTAAAACATACTCTAAGTGGAAAATATTTGTCAATATTTTTGTAGTAATCAGTTTTTTAAAACTAGTAGTGAAATCACCATATTTGGAGTCTATTAACATCAGTACCTGATATACTATGTGAGGAAGAAGAGAGAAGTGTGGCTGGACCTTACTAAATCTATCTACACATACACACACACAAAATAGAGACCGTGTATATGTATGTGTATATGTATATGTATATATAGGTATATGTGTACATAGATGTATACACACATATACACACCATGCATATACATATATAATTTATATACAATTATGATATTCACAACTATATACTAATGAGGCTAATCTACAAAGATAATCATCAAAGATTATATATATACACATATATAATATGTATGTATACATATATGCATGCATATAAATCTATGCATATACATGTAGGTATATGTATGTATGTATACAGAAGAAATTCATAGTGGAGGAGACAGAATTTGAAGGTGTTTTTCAAGACTATTTCAGAGAAGATTCCAAAAGAATTGAAAAGATAATCTCCACTCTTCTGGCCAGTACAGAACAAAGGATAAGCTTCAACATTTCTACTGAAAATGTTCTAGGGTCAAGACATAGCCACAATCACCAAAACCAATGGCCACTTTTTAGTCCTCATCCATTTAACTTCTCTGCTGTTTTTGTTGTGTGACCACATCCCCCTACGATATTGCCTCCTCTCTTAGCTTTAGGGACATATTCTCCTGATTTTCTTTCCAATTATCAAGATGCTCCTAGTGTGCTTCCTTTACTAACCTTCCCTCTGTCTACTCCTTCCCTTGGCAAGCTCATTGCCTCTCAAAGCCTCTCAGTTACTGCTTCTATGCAAATGACTCAATATGTTTGGCATGGTTTTCTATACAATGGACACAGAACTTGAAGTCACCTTATTCCTCAGGCTACTAAAGCGGAATCATGGGATCAATCCAGAGTTAGAGGTGAAAGGGACCTCAGAGGTCATCTGGTCCAACCTTAACTGAGGCTCAAATTGCTTATTGTGACTTGCCAAAGACACTTTGGTAGTAAGTCCAGGCCTGAAACCAAGTCTGCTTCTTCCAAATCCAGGGCTCTTTCGACTGTATTATAAAGTAAACATATAAGTAAGTGCTTGCTTGACTGGAAAAAGTCCCAAGCCATCATGGGAAGCAGATTTTACACGGTAAGAAGATAAATTCTCCTGATATGAAGTTGTAACTCACTGTCAACTATAAGAAAGCTTGAATACTCAGAACCATTACCTTCATCAAAGCCTCAGATAATAAAAACCAGGTAGGCCTCAATTTTCTCCTTTTTCCCCCTTGTTCTCTTTTTTCCTTTCCCATTCTTCTTTGTTTTTTCTTTCTCCCTCCTTCTTTGTACCCCTTCTTCCTGCCCTCTCTCCCTCCCTTTGTCTCTTCTTTCCTTCTTTTGGCATCTGTCTCACTCTTCCTCTTGTTTTTTTTTTTTGTGTTCACCAACACTCTTTCTGAATCATTAATTTCTTCCTATACCATACTCCATAGCAGCCATTCATTCACTAAATAATTTATTTCAAGTAATCATCATACTTTCAATAATTTTTTCCTTTCTCCCACCCCAACTCACTTTTTTATTCCTCTGTGAATTTTTGGCAGGAATTGTTTTCAAATAAGTATTTATACCTAGGCAAGAAAATATGGGTGAATGAGCTAAATGAAATATGGTCTTGCTTAAAACACTGAAGGAAGAGAGAGAGAGACAGAGAGAGAGAGAGAGAGAGAGAGAGAGAGAGAGAGAGAGAGAGAGTGTGTGTGTGTGTGTGTGTGTGTGTGTGTGTGTGTGTGTGTGTGTGTTTAGAAGGTGGCAGAGGCAGGTGGCCCAGAGAAGATGGTGCTACGTGGCTCAGAGTGGGGTGAGCTGGTCATGGCTGCTATGGTACCTAGTGAAAGGGGAGAGAACAAATATTTATTGAGTGTCAATGTGCAACTGCGCTAAGTGGTTTACAAATATTATCTTATATGATCATCAGAACAACCCTGGGAGGAAAGTACTGTTATGATCCCTCAGCTGAGGAAACTAAGGCAGATAGGGTTCCATACCTAGCAAGTATCTGAGGCTAGATTTGAACTCAGATCTTTCTGACTCCAGTCTCAGCATGCTAACCACTGCACCACCTATCTTCCTCTGAGAGATAAAAATAGTAGAGAAAGGGATGGTGGTGGGAGTCAGTTTTAAATAATAAACAGTTTATGCCCCTCTGTTCAGGTGAGAGGCAGCAACTGAAACTGTAAGAATGACATTACACTAAATACAAATCAGTATCAGAGTGTCTTAATGAACTGTGTAGTTGTCTATTAACCTACCTGAATTTATACCTTTCTCCCAAGGAACTCAAAAGTGTTTCACTACATGGTCTTATATCCTCTAATCCTAACCTAACCTTCAAAATGTTACTGCCCAAATTTATATTCATAATATTGATTCTAAATTACATCTCTGTGATTTTGTCAGCATGAGAACCAATGCAGATCACAACCTACCTATGACTCAGAGGTTATTAACCCAGGATATTAACCCAGGCAGTCATTATTCCAAGTCCAGAACTCTACCTGCTGTACCATAGTCATTTTTAATCCTAAATTAGCTTCCAAAATAGTCTTGTGAAGGGACATAGATCACTCTATCCATTCTATAGCAGATCACAAGAAGAGAAAGAAAGTAACTTGTCTAGGGTCACTCAGCTTGGATACAACCTCAGATCTCAGAGTTTCCTAGTGTTCTTGCTAACCTAATTATGCTACTTAGTATTAAAATGGAGATTAAAAAATTAAAGATGAATCCCAAGATCTTTATCACTTACACTGAACCAGGGCGCTGATATCCATTGCTTGATGTAGTGTCTAACCTCAATCTCCTACACATTTTTGGAGGAAGGTCAGGATTTGGTGGTGCTCTGGGTGTCTCTTTGGAATCTATGGAAGTTAAGCTTTGAATGGATCCACTGTAGCTTTTATTTCCTATAAAGAAAATCCCCAAAATCAAAAAGACAAAATAAAGCTAATATCACAGTGCATGTTCGTTACAAAAAAAAGGGATGTTTTTCTATGAACCAAAATGGAAATGTACAGAATGTTCAGTGCACAGCAGACCATCCTTGGGGAGATCACAAACTACAGCAATTTTTCAAGTGGCATTACCTCACCATGATAGAGAAATTTAGCCAAAAAGTCACAACGTAAAGGAGTTCTTCTAAATGCCAAGTACATGAGCAAAGTTAACAGGCATCATTAGTCCTTTTAACTTCTTAGCTTTTCCCCTTGCATTATCATGCTGAATAATCCAGCAACCGATAAAGCAACAAGAGAAAAGTGTAAGCTTTGCATTGCTTACCTTCAGTTGCAGGGATGGATCTGAGGGAGGAAGCTGCAGATCTCTTCAGTCCTGAGAGTCCATAAGGCCCCTTTTGGACCAGATCTATTGCTGGGGAAATGTTCCCTGGGCTAGTGACTGATGCAACACTCTGACCGTCAGACTCCACATCTGTTTTGGATGCATCTTCTTTAGAACTTGATTCTGGACTAGTCGTCCAGAGCCCTGAGCTTTTCTGTCCATTGGAAGGTGGTGGAGATGCAATCCAGGGGATGCCTCCAGATTTTTCCCGTGGCGGGGAAGAAGCTGACTTAGTAGTGCTATTTTGTTCTGATGAGTGAGAGGACAGTGATTCTATGCTACCCATAGGTGTACTATCTGGGCTGCTGCTGTATGAATCACCTGTGGTGGAGGAAAGAAAAAGGAAAGCTTTCTGTTAATAATAGCAGTACTTAAAGCTTTACATTTTCTTGCTGATGACAACTATTATAGTCACTGAAATTCTGGGCCTAGAGCTGTTATTGATAGTTCTTCTCAATACAGAAAGGATATTTTAAAATGTGGAATGGGTAGCTACATTTCCTTCATGGCATATATACATACATACACATATATATATATATACACACACACACACACACACACATACATATACATATATATATATACACACACACACACATACATACATATATATATGTATATATATATATATAAGGGTATGTGTGTGTACATATACATATATATTTGCATAGATATACACACATACACACACATAAATATATTTTCTCAAATATTTATGGACCATAAGACCAAACAAAGTAAGATCAAAATCTGCCCCTGACAGCAGGACCCCAGAGTAATGGAACAATGGGAAAAGAGTTTCACTGATGACTGAATAGGGAGGCAAAAGGAATGGATTAATGATATCTTTTGTTGTTGCTGTTGTTGTCATTTTCCATAATTAACAACTACTCAAATTTAAATAGCACCTTTTGGTGTTGTTCAATCATTTTCAGTCCGGTCTAACTTTTCGTGACCTCATTTGGGGTTTTCTTGGCAAAGATACTGGAGTGGTTTTCCATTTCCTTCTCCAGTTCATTTTACAGATAAGGAAACTGAGGCAAACAGAGTTAAGTGACTTGCCCAGGATCACATAGCTAATAAGTATCTGAAGTATCTGAAGCCAGATTTGAACTCAGGAAGAGAAAGCCTCCTGATTTCAGGTCCAGCACTCTATCCACCAAACCACCTAGCTGCCCAAAATAGCGCTTTAAGTTTTGCAAAGTGTAAATCTTCACAGATTTGTTTGAGGAAGGTCCTTTGTAAACCTTAAGGAGTTATATAAATGTAAGTAGTTATTACTATCCTCATTTTATAAATGAAGAAACTGAGCCTCAGAATGATTCAGCGACTGGTCTAATACCTCACAACAAGTGTCTGACATGGAACTCAAAGTCAAATATCCTGACTCCTAGTTCCATTGGGTAACACTGGCAATTCTATAAAACTCTGGTAAATCTAGCAACTGGGGTTTGGAGGGAGAGAGGCATGAAACAAAGATTAAAATGAAATGAGAACAGCAACCTCTTCTCCAACTGTTTTTTGTTTTTTGTACTACCTATCACTGGCTAAAGCTATTTTTCTAAATCACCTTGGTGCTTGGCTCAGTATACTAAGGCAGTCAGAGTGAGCGTGTGTGTGTGTGTGTGTGTGTGTGTGTGTGTGTGTGTGTGTGTGTG